GACACACTGCGGCTGTGAGCTCTTCTGGCTGGCTATGTACAAAAACAAAGAAGTAGCACATTTATAAATGTTTAAAAGAGCATAAAATCACGTGTAACAATAATCTGTAAAACAAATTAAAACTAGAAGGTAGTAATAAAATGTTTACATAGAAGATTATTAAAAATATTTCACCTTTGCTACGCCGGTAAGGCTTCACGTCAGCCTGGACAAGTGCATTCTTGCAGCTAAATCAGTCTGACAGCCAGTGTCTTGGGTAGATTTAGCCTGAAAAAAAAAATAGAAGCACATTGTTGTTGGAGTTTATAAAGTCAGATAATATACAAAAGAATCTCCTATATAGGCGCTTTATAACATTCCTAGTGTGTGATCGTTGTTATAACGTAAAAGTCAGAGTCACATATGATGTGGAGAGCCTGAAATGCGACCTCCTGAACAGAATTCCTCACAAAACCTGTTCACAAGCTGGATTTCACGCTGTAATGCTGTCTGTCAACTAGTGCTGCGTCAGTTAGAGACACTGTTGCAGAATTACCGACTGACTAGCTAAAGGAAGTGAACCACGTCTCTCGGACTTTGCATTTAGGTAGGGAATTGTCTTTAGAAGATGTTAAAACTTTATTTAGCTTACTCACCTCAGACTGGAGCCCGCCGTGGTGGGGGAGCAGAGTCGGTGGGCTGCATCTAAATCGCGGAAGAGCCACGGTGGGCACAGCCTCCCTCTTCAAACGGAGACGTGCAGAATCGCGGGTAAAATGCTGGTTGCAAACTACAGCACCAGGCGGGAGTCCAGCGGAAAGGAGGGCAACCCCACAGAGCTACCGCAACCATACTACACTACATCATCTCACCATGCTAACACGATATGGAGCACTAAACCCGAACTACTTTTCTAATTACACTAACAGCCAAACACTAACTAAACTACAATATCCAACAGCCAAGCTAACACTAAATAAGTATGTATAACACTAAAAGCTATGCTAAAGACTAGGATATGCTAATGCTATATGCTAATGCTGAACTACGGCTAACCGTCCTACACTCGCTTGTAAATCCAACTCCCAACTCGCCACAAGGCGTGGCCGAGACGCTTGATCCTTTTATAACGTTGACACAGAGCTGCTACTGGTTTACGTAGTATCTTACTCTTTAGCCATTGGCTAAAATTTATTCAAAATGACTCAAATTCTATGTTTTAAGCTGAAGGTGGAGCTATACTGTGGTATTTAGGCAGAATTTTTAATTTTTAAAGAAAATGCACCAAAATGCTAAAATAATGAATACACACATTTAAAACACTATTAGACACTCATTTATACAGTTCATCAGCAAAAAAAAGTTAATTTAGACATTACTTGCTCTTTAATGATGCGCCATAATGAACGTGACGGACACAGTGAATGATTGTTAACAGGCAAAAAAAAAATCAAAAGAAATAAGCACATGGTCAGACCAGCAGACTTCTAAAAGAGATGGACCATTTAACAACAGACCAGATGAGAGCACAAGGTCGAGAGTGTGTGAGTGCACATGAGTTGGAGCATGTACAGACTGGGCCAAACCAAAAGCATCAATTAGACTAATAAAATCTGTGACAAATGGTTTTTCCAGACAGCAGATGTGAATATTAAAGTCTCCAAGAATGAGAACACGTTGATATCAAGTGAAAATCTCAGCTAGGAGAGCAGAGAAGTCAGTTATGAATATAAGGAGGGGGGAGAAATTGCCAGTTCAAAAGCACTCAGTTCAAAGGAGGTAATTTCGGTGGAAGGAGGAAAAGGGTTAGAGGTAAATGAAGATTTAAAAATAGTTAAAAGGCCTCCTCCACGGCCGCATTGTCTTGGAGAGTTTATGACTGAGCATGCAGGGGGGAGAGCCTCCGCTAGAACAGCTGACTCACCCGGGGCGATCCAGGATTCCACGACGCAGAGAAAGTCCAGCGCTCGATCACGGAAAAGATCCCTTAGTATAAAAGTTTTGTTTCTGATGGATCTTGCGTTTATAAGAGCAAAGCTGACAGAGGTCGAGTTTTGACGTACGTTCCGAGTCGTGGAACAGACTGCTGATGACGTAGGCACTAGGAGAAGGTTTGCTGGGCAGATTCCACGACAGCGCAGCACCATTGGCACAGAGCGGATCTGTGGGCCCGCCAGATCCCCGGGCAACTCCAACGGGATAAGACATGGAACTGCCGGATTCAGGGAACGCCAAGTGGAACACAGACTGGGCCCCACAACGACTGAAATCCTGAAGGAGGCAGGTGAGCGGGCCAGAAGACCTCTAAGCTTCACCAGTCGCCCGGCTCGACAGCCGCGACGTCAACGCTTCCAACCACGGAAGAGACACGGCATCCGGCACAGGTAGAGAGGAGGTCCAGGGAGCAGCTTGCAAGAGGTGTGATGTAAATCCTTCACGGCAGGTGGAGAAAGGCACACTGCCAACCGTATATCCAAAAGAGTGGAGCGATCATACTTAAAAATTGCAATTATCGGGGCAAGTTCAAAAATATCACTAAAAACAATAAGAGACTGCGAGGTGGACGGCCGGCCAAAAACACTGGCGCCATCTTGCCACACCCACTCAATGTACTGAATGGACCTATAGGTGTTAACCTAGTTTTTTCTTGTCCAGTTCAATGGAATGGAGACTGAAAATCAACTCAAAGTCCAGAAAAACATGAAAGTTCCAGAATGATTTGTAGTTGGCCAGATGATTTCCTCATCAGGTTGCAGCTTTCACGTAATTTCTTGTTGATTCTTGATCTTCAGTCTCTCCCTGAGAAACCCATTGTGTGTGTGTGTGTGTGTGTGTGTGTATACTTTCTTTGACATTGAATTTGGTACCATTAGTTTACCCGTTTAATTATAGATTCACTAGGATAAATACAATAAAGTTTATATCTCACCAAATAAAATATCTACTAAGGAATCACAATGTAACCATAGAGACACTACTTGGTTATTTATGTTCTGTGTGTGTGTGTGTGTGTGTGTGTGTGTGTGTGTGTGTGTGTGTGTGTGTGTGTGTGAGTGTGTGTGTGTGTGTGTGTGTGTGTGTGTGTGTGTGTGTGTGTGTGTGTGTGTGTGTGTGTGTGTGTGTGTGTGTGTGTGTGTGTGCAGTCAGTGACTTGATGCAACCTGCTGGGTTCCTTATACAGGAAACGTTTTACTGACTGGCTTAATGAACTGACCTGTATTGGAATGATTACTGTGTGAAGTGCCTTGACATGACTGTTGAAGTGATTTGGCGCTTCATAAATAAACTGAAATGAATTTTATCATGACCAAATCATCTTAGGACACGTTTCCTGTTCCTTTTGAGCTCAACAGTCTGTTCTATACCTTCACTAAAACAATTAGGTTATGGGTCAGAATTGTAACAAAATGTAGTGTACTTGTTTTTTCGGGGCTTTTGACGAAACCATTAAAAAAAACAAGAGAAACCTGGCTGCAGACCTCCACTGTCAGGGTGCTTCCGTTGGAGGCTCCTGTTGGGTAAAAAATCTGATATTCACCTATTTCTTTTCAAGAGTGTTGTTCTGTCAAACAGAGTTCATTAGCCTCATTCACATTTATAGTGGTAAATACAGTATTGGATGCATGGAAGATGATTTTGTCTGGGAACCATCTGGTGTTGTTGTCCTGCTCCTGCCGCAGGGAAAGTCGACCTTGTAAGTCTGCAGTTCTGTTATCACAAAAAGCTCCCTAGTGAAGTCCAGACGGAGTGTTTCTCTGAAACTGGGAAAGTTTGCTGTCTGTGAAGGGGATGGGTGTGGTCATCTTTAATGAGTGTGTGCTATGTCATCTGTGAATAAAACCTTTTGATGAGCTCCTGCTCGTTGAGAGACTAACCAGACCTCCCACAACTGGTGTGTTTCTTTTTTCTCTCCGGTTTTGCAAAATCTGATTATTGATTATTGGTGTTTATTGGTAAATGGTACTGATAACAATAATATCTCTAACCCCCTTGTGTGTTTTGGACTTTCTTTGAGGTACGCCTGGATTGAATTAAATAAAATACCTAACAGCTCCACTGTCAGGACGGGAAATGCACGGGATACATTACAAAATAAAACGGCAAACATACTTACACTTGTAATTGATAGGTTTCAATATAAAATATTACGTAAAATCTATCAATTATTTCCCTATAGTTCATACGTAGTTGTCATTTAACATGCTTACGGTTGTAATTTTTCTAAATGAATTAACGAATGGCCGGGATAGGTTTCAACATAAAACGCTAACATACTTCTGGTCGTCATATTTCTAAATAAAATCCCGAATGTTGTTTCGGTCGAATCGCTCTCCTCACAAATGCATTTATGTTTTAATATTACGTAAAATCTATAAATTATTTCTCTATCGTTCTTATGTTGTTGTCATGTATTTAGTAAACCTAGTTTTGTTTGTCATTTTTATTGTGTGTTTTCAGTTTTCCTGTTGCAGAACGTGGTCATTATGATATATTCTGTCATAAACTAAGACGTAATATCAAAAAATGAATGCGTTTGTGAGGAGAGCAATTCAACCAAAACAGCATTCGGGATTTGATTCAGAAATATGACGACCAGAAGTATGTTAGCGTTTTATGTTGAAACCTATCCCGGCCATTCGTTAATTCATTTAGAAAAATTACAACCGTAAGCATGTTAAATGACAACTACATATGAACTATAGGGAAATAATTCATAGATTTTATGTAATATTTTATATTGAAACCTATCAATTACAAACGTAAGTATGTTTGCCGTTTTATTTCGTAATGTATCCCGTGCATTTCCCATCCTGACAGTGGAGGTCTGCAGCCAGGTGCTTTTGGAGAGAGGAACAAAAAACATTACGACAAATATTTTGTCTAAAAAACCACCAGCGGAAGTTATGTATGAGAGCCAGGTGTGTTTTATTCTGCTCCAGCAGGTGGCGCTAGTGCACCTTTACGCTGGTCACCGACTACCGGAAGAAGCAGAAACCGGAAGCTGCTAACAGAGCTAGCTTGTTGTTGTTCTGGTGTGCGAGGAGAATATTTGAGGTTCTGCAGTAAAAATGTCTTCACTTCAGTCTCTGGGAGAGTTGATCAGCTAAAGCGACTAACTGCTGCTGCTGCAGAAATCTTCTCACCAGGCTGTGGAAACTTTCTTCTCCTCCTCAACAACTTGGTGGAGTTCTTTCCAGAACCAGAGAAGATATTCTGCGGTCTTCGTGACAATCGGAGCTCCAGAATCAGGTTGTGGGTGAGAAAAGCTTTTCTCTAGACTTCCTGCCCTCTGGATCTGCTGCTGTTCCTTTGGCCAGAACCAAAGCGTTGGATCTTTAATCTCCTGCGTTGTTCTGAAGCAGCATCTTAATCAGCTCTCCTGCTTTGTTTCTATTGCAGCTGTTAGCTAAACACGGCTAAAGAAAACCTGCTACCACTTCAGGATCATCCATCAGCTGGGACTGATTCATCGTGTGTTCTTCACCACCTGGACCTGGACAGCATGGACACAGGTACTGGTGGATGAATGAATATATTGTCAGTCTATTGTAACCCTGGCGTCAGATTAAGTTACCACTTATTCAAAAAATAATAATAAATAGGCCAGACTCTAGGTCCAACAGGATTACCTTACAAATTACCAGTGAGTGGGAAATGGAATAGCTGGATCCAAAGAATGAGCAAAAGAACACAGTTGCACCAGATTTGTAATTTTATATAGATATATGAAAATAGAACAAAAATACAGCAGCTGCAATAGACATATAATTAAACAATTAGGCCTTTCCCCCTATATCAGTAAACCTAGTCAGGTAGAGCTCAAAGTCAATCTTCTATTTGGTCGTAGTCTAGTCAAAAAGAAAGTCTCCTCGGTCTTGTAAAACTCAGGTTCAGTGGTCTGAGTGGTTACCACTGGAATGTTGGCTCAGTATAGAAGAATGATGTTCTCCTGATCGGGATTCAGTTCAGTTCGGGCACAGGCTCGCCATCTCCATCCGGAGAGAATCCAGGACTCCAATCCACTTCAGTCCCGTACCGAGCATAAAAACCTAGCCTGCACAACAATAATGCAATTATTGTTTACAGCTAAATAAAATTCTCATCTCTTATTCTCACAGCTATAGCTTTTACAGTCTTTTCTTTCTTCATCCTTCACATTACCATAGTAACAATTTACATGCATGTACATTTCTTTTCTCAAAATACATTTTGGCAATACATGAAACAGTTTTTAACTCACGTAACTAATAGTTTTAATCTTGTTTTTTTTTTTGTAGAGTAATACAAAATACAAAAATTACACAATAACAATATGATAATCAACAAAACTGACGTTTAAGATCCACAATGTTCACATTCATTTGGAAAAATAAAACAAAAATAATTATTTGTTCCCTTCTGTTAGCAGAATTACCATTAACATCCATTAAAATGAACTCATGTGGCTGGCCAAAGTCAATTAGCTTTAGTTAGCGGGTTGCTAGCAGAGCTTAGCAAGCACATGGCGTTAACTCACCAAGATGAGGTATTAGCGTGCTTGAAGCGCCAGCACAGCCACCTGGTCTCTCTAGCGTGGGCTCTACACAACCCACTATAACGTCCCCGGCTCTCTAGGAGAGATGAGGTTGGGAGAAGTAATAAAAGGGGTGTGTGGGTGAATTAATAACGGAGTGCTGTGTCGCTAAAACAAAGGATTTTATTACAAACAATATTTACAACAATAATAAATATATATACAAAACGAAAAGGAGCTATATACAAAAGGGGAGAACAAAAAACGCCACCCCAGAAGGTGGTGGGGATTTAACAACCGAGAATAATAAGAGCTTTCCTGATAAGCAGGAAACCTCTGGGGAGATCCAAAGTCAAAGATGTTCCGAAGCCAAATAGTCAAATCCTAAATATCCAAAATCCGAAAGAGTGTGTAAACCAAAGACTAGCGAGCGAAACAAGTTTTTACCAAAGAAGCATCGAGGAGAAGAGAATAGTATAACCTCAAGAAGAGTCTACACTACCCGGTACCTTCTCGCCGAATGAGAGGAGAGGCGAGCCTTTTAACAGAGTGACCAGGCATGACTAATAGAGAACAGCTGCAAATGGAACCGGATGAGGAGGGAGCTGCGGGGATCATCTAGTGGCGAGCGTACATAACACCCACTGTAACACATAACCTAACGTTTTCAGTTACCTTTCTCAGAGGCCTAGTGGTAGAGTGTCCGCCCTGAGACTGGGAGATCAGGGTTCGACTCCTGGTCGGGTCGTACCAAAGACTTTGAAAAAATGGGACCCAATGCCTCCCTGCTTGACACTCAGCATTAAGAGGGTTGGATTGGGGGGGTTAAACCACCAAATGGTTCCCGAGCGCGGCCGTGTCTGCAGCTCACCGCTCCCCCAGGGGATGGGTCAAATGCGGAGAACAAATTTCGCACACACACACCTGTGTGTGTGACAACTAATGGGACTTTAACTTTTTAAATTAGCCGTCTAGAAAACACAAATACTCTTAAACTTGTGTTCTGTATAAATACCAATAAAAGGTATATACGGCTCGACGTTTTTCCGATTCTCGACTCACTTTTTTTTACAGCAGCAACCCAAAACGATCTCCTAACACATAGATTTTCTGCTTCCTGATCACGTGACGTGTACTTGTACTTCTCTTGATGTGGCACACCTGTGAGGTGGGATGGATTATCTCAGCAAAGCAGAAGTGCTCACTATCACACATTTAGGCTGATTTGTGAACAATGTTTGAGACAAATGGTAATATTGTGTATCTGGAATGAATTTTAGATCTTTAAGTCCATCTCATGAAAAATTGGAGCAGAAACAAAGGTGTTGCGTTTATGTTTTTGTTGAGTGTGTGTATATATATATATATATATATATATATGTGTGTGTGTAAACAACAATAAATCTCCCAAAATGCTAATTAGTAAGATTCCTTTGCTTTGTAGTGCTCTAGCCTGCTGAGAGCTTAAAAGTGAAAGATTGTTACTGACAGCAGCTACATCTAAGTGTTTATTCATTTTCCTTTTGACTGAATAGTTGCTGATTTTATCTTGGAGACGTTTCTCCTCACATAAGCTTCAGATCTAAAGCTTGGGTTGTGAGTAGGAGGCTTAGAAGTTCTGGTCAGAAACAAACACGCTGATTGTGATGGAAGTTTTTATTGTTCCTAAAGTAGAAATCTGTTTTTATCTAAATGAAGTTCATGTTCTTGTTCCTTTTTCCCACATCATGTAGCCAGTATCACTCATGGTGTACATATAAAGGTATGGTGGTCTGTAACATCATGTGTCTGTGTTTCCTACAGATGTTCCACAGCTGGTGCTGGTTAAAGAAGAAGCTCCTGAAGAACAGAGTGCTGGTGTGGACCAGCAGGACCCAGAACACCTCCACATAAAGGAGGAACAGGAGGAGCTCTGGACCAGTCTGGAGGGAGAGCATCTCTGTTTGAAGGAGGAGACTGAAGCTGTCGGGTTTCCTGTTACTGCTGTTTCTATAAAGAGTGAGGATGATGAAGAGAAACCTCTGGTCTCACAGCTTCATCAGCAGCAAATAGAAGACAGAGATGTTCCAACCAGCAGCTCAGCTGACCAGATGGCAGCAGAAACTGGTGGAGGAGCAGGAACTAGCAGGAACCCAGATCTGAACCCTCATGAACAAACATCTGATTCTTCAGAGACTGAAGTTAGTGGAGATGATGAAGATGATGATGATGATGATGTGAATCGGGACTCTGAGCTGTCAGACTCTGGGTCTGAAACTGGAGATGAAGATGATGACTGGAATGAGAGCAGGTCTTCTGAGTCAGATGGTAAGTCTGTCAACAAGTTCTTCACAAGTGGTCTCTCCAGAGACACGTGAGGGAGACAAGTCATCCAGCAATAAGGTCTTCAGGCTGTTTGGTTCATAAGAAATGTGTTAGAGTGAAGCAACATGTAGACTCGTGCAGGAAAGTCCAGAAGAAACCTAAATCATTTAGTCATGATGAGTGTGGAGAAAGGTTTACTACAAATGTAAATAAACAAATCACATGAGAGTCCACACATAGCAGCTGCTGTTCCAGAGTATGGGCCAGCCTCATCCCACCCATACTCTGCTTCTGGCCGCTAACAAGATGGCGCCTGTGTTTGGAATAGCCACAGGTCCGTTTCCACATTCCCGCCTGGCCACGGGGCAGCGCTGTGTCTCCGTCCATGTTTCCTCGGGTCTGTTTATCCTGGTTCTTCAGTGGTTTCCCTTCCTGTTCCCTCCATGAGTGGACTTTACACACCGTGGATCTGACCTGCTAACTCCAGCTGTTTCTGCTTCTGGCAGGATCCTGGTGTAGGTACCCAGGAGTCCAGATGCTGCAGGATGAAGTGTAGAGCCATGCTGATGGTGTAACGTGATGGAAGTGGTTACTTTTACTGAATGATCAATAAGATGTGATATTCCATCTAATTATAAATGATCAATCTTATTGGTCTTTGAATATTTGATTTAATACGACCTTAGGAACACACACTTCATATTAATTCAGACAGAGTCAAGAATATAGTTTATAAAAATTAGTTTAATTTAGGGTCGGGACTTTAACGAGTTAATTACGATTAATTAATTAGAAAAAAATTAACGCATTTAATCGCAGCTTGCATTTCGAGCACGGCGGAACCTTTGTCATTGCACAACTTCCTCGTAGACTGAATATCACTGACGCACACAACAATGCACAGTGCTAATGGCTACTGAAACGGAATAAAAACAGAAAGAAGTTGCCTTGCTTGGACTGATGCAGGATTTAGGAAACCCGTCCGCCTCTTTTCTGAACTTGGAAAAACAAACTTCCAGACAACAACAGAGTCCGTGTCGCGGACATTTTTCAGAGATCGTCTCTGCTGCGGCTGCCCGGTGGCACTGGAAACTTTACAAAAGTTGCGGTAAGCTGTATTTTTAACATTTACGTAACATCTGTGCAGCGCTGAAAGCACCAGACAGAATGATTCTGTGCCCTAACAGTAGTTAATGAAAGTAGTCAGACAAACGAGAGGCACCTGGCTGCCGCTGGGAGAACGCTCCGTGTTCTCACTACTCTGTAAACAATCACAGACAACGTGTCTTACAGTTGAAAACAGAAGTTTAAGTTAAAACAGAAACACTCTGAAACTTTTCTGATGATTTTCTAAACAATTCTGTCGGGGAGTTATACGTTTCTGAGACGAGTCGCTGTCTAAACATCACATGCATTACTATCATTAAGCAGCGAGGTGTGTTGAAGCTGTCATCAGCTAAGGGGCGGATGCTTAAGTGCATCAGGGGCAGCGAGGAACGAGGAAGTTGCGATCAGGCTGGAGATCACACCAGATTCGCTGCTGCAGGTGTGAATCTGCGGGTCTGCAGCATCTCCTTCTTAACGTGACATCAGGACTTCCCATGTAAGGAAGGTCCGCTCACCTGTTCGTCACATCATTATTTCCTCGCCATGACCTTTTATCTTCCCAACATCCTCCAGTCATCCAACTGGAACCAGTTAGTGTTCCTGATCATTCTCAGAATATGCCATGCCTGCTCTGGTGTTAAAAGTTAGTACATTTAAGTCCTAGATCATATTTGTGCCTGCTCTACTGTCATTTAGAAGGATTATTATTTATATGTGTTTTTACTACATTATGAGTAGAAATGCTAATAAAAACTCCCAATTATACAAAAAAGTGAAACAGGAAAAATCAGAATCTGGTGCAAAGTCAAATTTATTTCAGTCATTCAACTAGACAGAGAGACTATTTAAAGAGCAAGTAACGTCTAAATTAACTTTTTTTTGCTGATGAACTGTATAAATGAGTGTGTAATAGTGTTTTAAATGTGTGTATTCATTATTTTAGCATTTTGGTGCATTTTCTTTAAAAATTCTGCCTAAATACTACAGTATTGCACCACCTTCAGCTTAAAACATAGAATTTGACTCATTTTGAATAAATTTTAGCCAATGGCTAAAGAGTAAGATACTACGTAAACCAGTAGAGTACTACGTAGCAGCTCTCTGTCAAAGTTATAAAAGCATCGAGCGTCTCGGCCACGCCTTGTGGCGAGTTGGGAGTTGGATTTGCAAGCGCGTGTAGGACGGTTAGCCGTAGTTCAGCATTAGCGTATAGCATAAGCATATCCTAGTCTTAAGCATAGCTTTTAGTGTTATACATACTTATTTAGTGTTAGTTTGGCTGTTGGATATTGTAGTTTAGTTGGTGTTTGGCTTTTAGTGTAATTAAGAAAGTAGTTCGGGTTTATTGCTCCATATCGTGTTAGCATAGTGGTGAGATGGTGTTGTGTAGTATGGTTGCGGTGGCTCTGTGGGGTTGCACCCCTTTCCGCTGGACTTAGAAATTAGGCGCCAGTGGTTGCGCACAATCGGTGTCTGGAAAAGATTCAGCTCCCGCCTGGTGCTGTAGTTTGCAACCTGCATTTTACCTGCGATTCTGCACGTCTCCATTTGAAGAGGGAGGCTGTGCCCACCGTGGCTCTTCCGCGATTTAGATGCAGCCCACCGACTCTGCTCCCCCACCACGGCGGGCTCCAGTCTGAGGTGAGTAAGCTAAATAAAAGCAGGAGACCAGCTGCAGACACCAGAGGACCTACAACCAAGAAAGCAGCTGGTATCAGTAAATAAATAATGAAATCAGGGCAGTTTTAGTGGGCTGAACACATTACAGAATAATTTTCTCATGTGGTAGTTTCATAACTTTCTATGCAGCAGACTAACTTGAGCCCAGGACTCCTGGAGAGCTGCTATTGAGCACGTTTCAGTGGATTTCCTGCTTTAACGGGTTAGATTAGCTGTTAAGCAGCTCAGCTATTTGTTGCTGATTAAAACCAGGTGTGTTGAAGCAGATAAACCTCTAAAACATGCTGAATACTAGCTCTCTAGGGCCGTGGAGCTAATCTGATGCTACGGCTAACGGCTACTTACCATTCAGAGCTGGTTCTGTTGGGTCGGTTCCGCTAGTTTCAGGCAACTCACAAGCTCAAAACAATAAGGCTCAGGTCCGCTTGTCTCCTTCAAATAGACTTGGTCCCTTTCTTCTCGAGTGTCTGGGTAAGGAGGGGGAGAAACGTCCTCCACTTCTAATAAGTGCTCAGAGAGTGAAGGGAGCTAGCATCGTCTAGTTAGCCTTCGTCTTCGTCACTGCCGCGGCTCCGCCCTCTCGGTCCTCCAGGCAACACCTACTAATGTTGCAGTTTTTAAAATTGATACGTGGGTGGAGTAAGACTCTGAGGGGGACATTACCACGTCTTTAAGGTGTGTAGTCCTCATCACCGCCGTCATCAGTACCGCTGTCCATCTAGATGGTTTTGTCCTCCTCTGAAGACGAATCAACTTCTGGTTCTCTGGTGGCCATGTGTCATCTGATGACTCTATCCTGAATACACACAAAAAAAGTTTTTAGTATGGAAAATTAGACACATTTTGTTAACATCTGAATACTTACACAGTTTTGAATATTATTGTACTCTTCCTCGTCAATGTTTTCGTCAATTCCCACAAAAGATAACCTACAAAAGTAATTATTGGTTACTTTTCCTGACAAATGTGACAGCCGTATACAGATAAAACCTTCTACTTAAATTTGTGAAGATCCTTCATTTTCAGTTTCACCTTGTTCTATCACCTCCTCCAAATTTTCATACCTATGAAAATAAATTACAAGCACAAGAATATGATTAGAATCAATACATATTTTGTCATTTTGAAGGTAATAGACCTCGTCTATTGGCCGCCATCATCACCCTCTCCTTATTTTTCTCCCTGTACTTATCACGCGTTTCTCTGTATCCACTGAATTCCTTCTTTACAAATAATTCTGTCTCTTTCTTTACCTTTTAAAACCACAATTGTGTTATTTTTTCTCATAAACTTTGTTTAAAATAAAAATATAAATTTTTATTTTTATTTTTTTAATTTTGTTGTGTAGTTTTACTTATTTATTTATTTCTATACATTTTTTATAGTCATTCGTTATCCCATTTCCAGAATTTCTTCAAAATAATCCACCGCTAACTTAAGACAAACAGAGGCAAAACAGCTGTTCCATCGTTGGCCAGATGCTGAAAAAAACGCATAAATCTGGCTTTGTTTAAGTTTCACAAATCAGGGAAAGGTTTCACAAATCCCACACTGTGTTTTATTTTATCCGCTATTATAGTAGAATAATTTAGAACAGGTTTGAATAGTGTAGGGGCTGTACTTCTTGAGCTACAGCTGTTCCATCGTTGGCCAGATGCTGAAAAAACGCATAAATCATGCTTTGCTGAAGTTTCACAAATCAGGGAAAGGTTTCACAAATCCCAAACAAGGTTGTATGCAATCTGCTATTATTATAGAATAATCTAGAACAGGGTTGAACAGTGTGGCTGTTGTAGTTTGTGAGCTAGAGCAGATTAAAGATGGTCAGAGTAGAGAAAAATTGGGTGTATTGGCCCTTTAGCCGTTTCCCGAGTTGGAAGCTAACTTTAGCCTCGTACTGATATGGCCTATAGTTAAACGCCACACTAATCATTAGCTCCTATACAAATATAACTAAAATCCCCTTTCGTCACTCAAACTTCTTCCAAATATAGCATAAATAGTTCAAGACTAACATCGATTCATGTCGACTTAGCATTCAAGCTAATGCTACATTGGCCAATAGGACACAAAGTATACAAAGCTTGTTTGCTCTATTACTTCTTTCAGTGAAAGAAAGATTTTAAGTAAATTTATCCGAAAAAAAAATAACTTACCTGTCCAAAATATACTTTGCCAACTTCATCCGTTTTCAGGCCGCGTAGATCACGAAACAG